CTTATTCTTTGTTGCCAGTGTATCGGTTCTTTATTGACACTGTACAATAGAGGAGATGCTCCTGGCTCCTGCGCCATCCTCAGAAGTGTTGCTGTGTTTAGGCCCATTGTTGTATCATGACATCCTCCTCTGGAATGAGTCTTCCCTTCCAGTGACCTGCTGCTTTCCAAACATGGGGCTGGCCCCTCCTGAGAACATGGCCAGAATATGTGAGAGGAGGCCTCACCCTCTATGCTTCCAAGGAGCATTCCTACTGCACTTCCTAATGTTCTTTTATTATGACGAATTTATGTTCTTTTACAGTTCATAGGAAATGAGTGTTTAGTAATTAAGTATATTGAGAACATCTGTGGAATAACAGTTAATTATTAAAATAAAAAAGCAGGACATGGAAAATTTGAAGAGAAATCCTTAAAAAAAAGAAATAGAGTATAGTTTACAGCTAAAGTCTGTGGGCCTTCGTCAACTAGACAACCTCAACAGCAACACAGTCTAAAGGAAGTCTCCTCTAATTATTCTCTTTCTACTCCTCAGCATGTTCAGGGAACCGTGGATCTGCTGGCTTTCAGCTCTGTTTCAGAATTGGAGGCGTTGGGTTTGGATCTGCTCAAGTCAGAACTGATGGCCCTGGGACTGAAGTGTGGGGGCACCTTGCAAGAGCGGGCAGCGAGACTCTACTCCGTCAGAGGGCTGACCCTGGAGCAGATCGACCCAGCGTTGTTTGCAAAGCCGTCAAAAGGGAAGAAGAAGTGAACTTCAGAGCAGATGTCTGTCTTCATAATGTCCAGCACTTAAAACCTGCCTGTCAACTGTTGGGCATTATACCTGTTGATATTAAAAACTAAGTTTTTGCTAATTTTTTTAACTTGTTTTTCATGACTGCATTTCTAGAATGAATCTGAATCTAAAGTTCTCTTTGTGGGAAAAATTTTGATAACACATTTAATTTTTTCAATAAATACATTCATACATTCATTTTCATCCCCTGTGATTCAGTAAGTTGCGTTTTCAGGAAATTGCTATCTTGGGTACCTGCCTTGTCATAAGTGGGTGGCCTTCACGACAGGTTTATTCTCTGACATTGGAGGATGCCTAGAGTCTGAGCTCAGGCCATCAGCTTTAGGAAAGGATTTCTCTCAGTTGGCTCTGGCAAGAGATCCCCTCTCCTTTCGAAATGTGGACCTAGTGTCCTTGAAAATCTATGTTTGTCTTGACAAAATTCTTCCCCAAATATCTAGGAGGTTCTCAGCACACAGACCCTGGGTCTAGAACACTATTCTGCTCTTGTTCATGAGCCCTTGTTCTCTGTCACTTTTCTCCTTTTGTCTCTGATGAGATAAAAGGTGGTAAGAGACTACACCCTGGGTAAACTGTGACCTGAGTAAGGACTTTGCTCCATTCTAATCCTTTTACAACTGATTGGCTTTTCACATCAGAACACATTATGAGAGATGATGCTGTTGTTAAGAAACTGTCAGATCACATCACATAGACATTCCACTTAGAACCCTGGCCAGCTGGCACATCCTTTCTGAGGAGAGAGTCTAGGACATTTCCTTTAAGTTAGGGAATTTATGGACATTAAGTTAGGAATAGTGGTCATTTCTCACCCTTTTAATATCTGTAGAATCAATAATGATAACCTTTTCATTTTATTACTCGTTATATCTGTTTTTTCCATCCATTTAAGGTCTTACAAGGTTTCTTGCATTTGTTTTTTTTTTTTAATCTTTCCAAAGAATCTTTTTTTAATATGTTGAAATTTTCATTATCATGGAAATACCAATTTGTAAAGTTGTCTTTTCTAATTGTCTTTGTGAATTCTTGGAACTCTGAGTTATCTAGAGTTATGTTGTTGAATTAACAAATACTTGGGCTTTTAAATAAATAAATAGTTATTGGCCTCTGATTTCATTGAGGTCAGAAAACAATCTGTTGAGGAATTCTGTTCATTTGAGACTTGTTCTGTGCCATAGTATAGTGTCTGTCTGGAATGTCTCATTTATATTTGAAAAGTTTTTGGGTGAATGATCTCTGTAACACCAGTCCTGTCAGTAGCCTCAGTGTTGTTCATGTCTTCTCTCTCTTGACTGATTTTATATTTCCATCAGTTGCTGAGAAAGAGGTCTTCTTCATAATCTTTAGATATTATTATGGGATTGTCTATTTCTTTAATTCCCTCAATTTAAATCCTATTTTGAAGCTGTCATTAGGTTTAGGTACATCACCGAATGAGTTGACTGTTTTGTAATGCAATGTCCTCCTTTGATAATTTTTGACTCGTGTAGATTCTGTCTTAACTACTTGAGTCTCAGGATTGCTGTTGGCATATTGTATCTTTTTCTATTCGCTTTCTTTCTAGATATTTTATATTTAAAGTGGGTTTCTAGTAAACAGTATATACTTGAGCCTTCTACTTTTTTCCATCGTGATAATGAGTGAAAGTTAACAAACCAAACTTGTTTTCAATTCAGTAGTTCACACAGGTTTTACAACATAATGGATCTTACATTTTTACCGATTCTGATAATGTCTACCTTTTCAATTAGTGAGTGCTCTTGGCATTAAATGTAACTGTGGAAATGGTTAGATTTAGGTCTACTCCTTTACTGCTTTTCTCTCTGGGTTAGTTGATTATTTTAGAATTGCGTTCAAATTCATCTGCTTTGTTTTAGCTCTTTGCCTAACTTTTTTAGTGAAGGTTCTATAAATTGGAGTATGCATTCTGAATGTTTCAGTCTGCCTAGAAGTTGTACCACTTCACGTAAAATGTGCAGATCTTAGTACTATAGGTGTGTTTACTGTCCCTGTGTTTTAGGCTCTGGTTGCCAGGTATACTAAATACATGTATGTTACAAGCCCCACGATGTGTTGTGATTTTTGCTCTATTATACATATTATTTTTGCACTGTTGTGTCCCCAAAATGATGTTCATACTGAGTTCTATACCTGTGCTTATAGCTGCCATTTGGGAATCAATTTCGTTATCCTATTAATGAGGTGTATCCATTTAGAGTTTTAGTCAATCACTTCTGAGATAGAAAACAAATTAAGGAAGGACACAGACTGAACTTGAAGAAGATCAGTGCCCTTCCACATGAAAACCAGTGTAGGAGAAACCCAGGAACTGGGGTCTTCACCAGCACAGACAGAAAGCCTGCCCCTTGAGAAGCACTTTAAATTTGGCCTAGTTAGTGGTAAGAAGCTGCGCTGTAATCCTGAAGGCAAACGGTTAGAATCCACCAGTTGCTCCGTGGGAGAAGGATGGGCAATCTCCTGTGCAATTTACTGCCTCTGAAAACCCACTGGAGAGTCGGCTAGGGGTTGGTTCAACTTAACAGTACACATTAACCGAGAGTGAGAAGAGAGCTCTGGTGGCATAGTTCATAATGAGCTCTGCTGCTAGCCAACCCACAGGTGGTGCCTCTGGCGGTTCGAATCCACTAGTGGGAAAAGATGATCAGTCTCTCCCCATGTGATTTGCATCTCTATAATCCAGCTGGCAGGTCAGTCAGGAGTCAAATTGGTTCCACCTTGACCACAAACACTGAAAAATGTGAGAAAATAAATCTCTTTGTTCAAGCCAGCCATTTGTTATACTTCTGTTTACAGCAGCACTAGAAAATGGGAGAAAACTTTCTATTTACAGTACAGAGACTTCATGTGGCTCTTGTAAGTGATCCTAACTCACCATAAGTCTGAGTATAGCTGTGCAAAGGTGAGTTGTTTGTGACCCACTAAGGGAATTGGTTGGCTTGCTTCTACTGTAAATAAAGTAAATGGCAGCTTTCACCTAGGACCATGCAAATAAGATGCATAGAATGCCAACATGGGGATTGGCTAGCTTTGCCCTTCCACCAGACCATGGCGCCATCCCAGCAATGGAAAATGTGGAGCTGCAGCTTGTCAAAGAAGCACCAGCATGTGTAGCACGTCCTTTGGCTATGAGCTAACCAGCAAGCTGAACACGAGAGATGGTGCAAGGTCCTGAGATAGCAGAGTGAGACTAGATGAGATGAACTGGAGGGGGCAGAAACCAGAGACCTGTGTGAGGCTCCCTGCTCAAAAAGCTTCATCACACTCGCCTGAGCAGAGGCCATGGCCACAAGACTGGGGACCAAAGAGGCGTGATTTTCAGCATGACTGATGCTGTCCTGATTGAAAGTTTATCCTGAGTGGTTCCTGAGCCCAAACTGTATGTATCCTGTTGCTTCCTTAGTAACTTCTCAGTTTTATTGCCTGAGAGTTCTTTATGGCCGTTGCAGTGAATTCTTGAACCCCTCAGAGAAGTAGTGAAGAGCCAGTTGGCATCAGAGTTGTTAGAAGGGCTGGAGAGTTGAGGGTTGGAACGTCTCTGACCTCCCGGGAATCAACTTTGTGCTGTTGATGATGTTGCTGGGGGGTTGGTATGTTTTTCTATGTCTTAGTCCTGCTTCCATTTTGTTGAGCTGCTTTGATCTGTAAATTTATACCAGTAATCAAATTTGGAGAACTTGCAGCCATTAATTATTTAGATCTTTTTCCTGCCAGTGTTCTGTCCTCTGGCATTTCAGTTATAGTCTCTCTGGGCCCCTAAGCTGGGTCCTTTTCAAGTCCTCCCTGGTCTTTCAATTTCATAAATCCTGTTACACATCTATGACCAACTCATTAGTCCTTTGAACAATTTATTTCCATATATCTTTGATTTTCTTTACCCTTCTTTGTTCTATACTCAAAAACCACACAATTCTTTACAGAGCTGAAGGATGTGTTTCAAACTCCCAGCTGCTCGGGACAGGGGAGACCAAGAGTTGCATCTCATATGACCACTTGCAAGCTTCCACGAATCCAAGGCTTCTATGTACCAAAGTAGTGTGTAAGCAAATGTGGGCAGTATTATGGCACTTGACCTTGATATTCTACAGTTTGAACCCTTAGGCCCTTTCAAGTTATTTGATGACTGCTACAAATCTGAGAGCTGGACAGTGAATAAGGATGACAGAATTGATGCCTTTGAACCATGATGTTGGAGAAAAGTCCTGAAAATCCCATATATTGCCAAAAGAACAAACAGCTATGTCTTGGAGAAGGTGCAATGTGGGTGCTTCTTAGAAGCTAAGGTGAAGAAACTTTGTCTCACATACTTTGGGCATGTTACATACATACATACATACATACATACATACAAGGCTATTCCTTGGAGAGGGACATCATGCTTGGGAAGGTGGAAGATCGGCAGAGAAGAGGAAGACCCTCAACTAGGTGGATTGGCATAGTGACTACAGCAATGGACTCGAGTGTGTCAGGAAGTGTGAAGATGGCACAGGATAGAATGGGGTTCAGATCTGTTATTCATAGGGTCGCTATGAGTCATACTCGACAGCACCCAACAATAAGTTTATGTCGCTTTGTCCCACATACGTTATGCTGAGTACATGGATGTAAGAGCGGCACCTGTAAACACCTGCTGGACCTCAAGAGTGTCAGGAGGAAACTGCCCATCTTTCTCCTCTGTAGCTGTTGTCCATGGATTCAAATGTTCAGAAAGGTTCTATGTTCTAACCACCAGTGAGCCTCCCTGCTATCCCAGAGGCTGCATCTCTTCAGTGGTTCAAATCTACCAGGAGAAAGATGGGGCTCCATGGGGGAACGATGAGCAGGCCCCTCCCAGGCCGCTCACCGCCTTTGCAATCCACCAGCAGGTCAGCTGCAAATCTAGTCCAGCAATGAGTTTGAGGATTTGCTGTCCACTGCTATACACATCTATCTTCCTG